ACCGCCAATAGCAACCTGTCTGGGGGTTTATACCGCCAATAGCAGCCTGTCTGGGGGTTTATACCGTCTATAGCAGCCTGTCTGGGGGTTTATACCGCCTATAGCAACCTGTCTGGGGGTTTATACCGCCTATAGCAGCCTGTCTGGGGGTTTATACCGCCTATAGCAGCCTGTCTGGGGGTTTATACCGGCTATAAAGGCTTGCTGAAGTTTTAAATGGCATATAATTTCCTGTTTGGTGGGTGTATACAGCCTATAAAGGCTTGTTGAATGTTTATACGCCCTATAATTACCTGCTTGTGGGGTTATACTGCCTAAAAAAGGCTGTTTAAACAGCCTGTAAGGGCCTGTCTGGGAGGTTGCTAGCTGTGGAGCTTGTGGTCTGGGTATGGCTCAGGAATCAGCTGTGCGTTGTGACCATATGCCAGGAAGTCTCTGGGCTGATATGATACTAACGTACTTTGCTGAGGTCACTGGGTGTAATCAAGCTGAGGCTTGTACTTAAAGAGACAGTATCCCAGAAATACCTTGGAAATTATTTTACGCATGATATTTAGCCACTGACTCCATAGTATTTGTGTCTTCCAGCACTGATTTAGCAGGTTTTATTCATTAACAAATTATTCTGTGTATCTGTAAATCAAGGAATGAAAGAAGAACCCCAATAGTTACTGCATTCACACAGCTTTATCCTATAACATGCACAGCATTCACACTGCATCACTGCTTTATCCTGTAACATGCACAGTATTCACACTGCACCACTGCTTTATCCTGTAACATGCACATCATTCACACTGCACCGCTACTTTACCCTGTAACATGCACAGCATTCACACTGCACCACTACTTTATCCTGTAACATGCACAGCATTCACACTGCACCGCTGCTTTACCCTGTAACATGCACAGCATTCACACTGCACCACTACTTTATCCTGTAACATGCACAGCATTCACACTGCACCGCTGCTTTACCCTGTAACATGCACAGCATTCACACTGCACCACTACTTTATCCTGTAACATGCACAGCATTCACACTGCACCGCTGCTTTATCCTGTAATATACACAGCATTCACACTGCACCGCTGCTTTATCCTGTAACATGCACAGCATTCACACTGCACCGCTGCTTTATCATGTAATATGCACAGCATTCACACTGCACCGCTGCTTTATCCTGTAACATGCACAGCATTCACACTGCACCGCTGCTTTATCCTGTAACATGCACAGCATTCACACAGCTTACCCCTGTAACATGCACAGCATTCACACTGCACCACTGCTTTATCCTGTAACCATTGTACAGCGCTACGGAATTCGTTGGCGCTATATAAATAATAAAATAATAATAATAATAACGTGCACAGCATTCACACTGCACTTCTGCTTTATCATGCACAGCATTCACACTGCACCGCTGCTTTATCCTGTAACATGCACAGCATTCACACTGCACCGCTGCTTTATCCTGTAACATGCACAGCATTCACACTGCACCGCTGCTTTATCCTGTAACATGCACAGTATTCACACTGCACCGCTGCTTTATCCTGTAACATGCACAGCATTCACACTGCACCACTACTTTATCCTGTAACATGCACCGCATTCACACTGCACCGCTGCTTTACCCTGTAACATGCACAGCATTCACACAGCTTTACCCTGTAACATGCACAGCATTCACACTGCACCGCTGCTTTATCCTGTAACATGCACAGCATTCACACTGCACCGCAGCTTTATCCTGTAACATGCACAGCATTCACACTGCACTACTGCTTTATTCTATAACATGCACAGCATTCACACTTCATCACTGCTATCCAGTAACATGCACAGCATTCACACTGCACCACAGCTTTACCCTGTAACATGCACCGCATTTACACTGCACCACTGCTTTATCCTGTAACATGCACAGCATTCACACTGCACCACTGCTTTATCCTGTAACATGCACAGCATTCACACTGCACCACCGCTTTATCTTGTAACATGCACAGCATTCACACTGCACCGCTGCTTCACCCATAAGATGCACTGCATTCACACTGCACCTCCACAGTACCGTGTAACATGCATTACACATGCACTGTATTTATACTGTACCACTACATTACCAGGTCCAGTTTCAGCATCCAGTCTCCCAGTGCGATTGCCACATACTGTAAGATGCACTGCATTCACACTGCAGTTGCCGTATACTGTATGATGCACTGCATTCACACTGCAATTGCTGTATACTGTAACAAAGTCTGCATTTACACTGCAATTGCCGTATACTGTAAGATGCACTGCATTCACACTGCAATTGCTGTATACTGTAACAAAGTCTACATTCACCCTGTATACTGTAACATGCACTGCATTCACACTGGGGCATCGTACCCTTTGATTTTCTGTACTGCACTGACAATGCTTTGTTGGTGGGTGTAAAAATACAATCTAGCTAATTAAGAGACATACATGTATTAGACTTGTGCACAAATCCTCCGCAGGCATGACCAACAAATCTAATTCCTGTTAATCTACATACGAACAAATTGTTCCCTCTGAGATTTACCTATGGAGTCTTACTGCGCAAGTGTTTTTTAGCTTGCCCGAATTAATCAAATTCCGCTTAACCTTCGCCCGAATGAATTAAATTCCGCTTAACCTTCTTGCGAATGAATCAAATTCCGCTTAACCTTCGCTCAAATTAATCAAATTCCGCTTAACCTTCGCGCAAGTTAACCGTCTGACTCCACAGGTAAATCCTGGTAGGGTTGGTTTGTGCAGGTGTAGATTAAAAAGAATTTGACTCGCTCATGTACTGAGGGTAATGTGTGTAAGGCTCTCACGTGGTAACCTCAGCTTGGTGGTATATGGAATTCATATGCTGCAAGAAGGAACCCAATTCTTTAGTCAGAACAATCTCATAAGACCTGCCCTGATTAGTACAACAATTTCCCTCCTACAGCATTTGATTTTTTACATACTACAGAGCAACAATCAGCACCTATTGTATAAAAATATTTGGTTACCTTGTGAAGCACAAACACTGACAGCCTGTACTGAACTTCACTTTGTGCATTAAATGTGAATGTACTGTTCCTTGCACCCACTAGGTGTCAGTATTACACATCCAACATCTGTTCAGCACTGAGAAATTTAATTATTGTATACACATGGATGCACAGTTGTGAAGAGGTTACTTGACTGATATACAGACAGATAGAGGCTCTGACTGTACATGCTATTAACCCCTATCTGCTCAGAATGTTCCTTTAATAAACAGATTCCCATAGAGTTGTCTATTTATACAATGTTCTTATATCCTGTGTGAGTCACCTTTTTAATAGAGTAAACAATTTCATGTTTTTGTGGCTATTTCTAGTTCACATATTGAAAGAGATAAGATTATATTTTGCTCCTATGAATTAATATCCCTTTTTTAATGTATGTCTGACATTGCACCTTAGTAACATAGAAACATAGAATGTGACGGCAGATAAGAACCATTCGGCCCATCTAGTCTGCCCAATTTTCTAAATACTTTCATTAGTCCCTGGCCTTATCTTATAGTTAGGATAGCCTTATGCCTATCCACGCATGCTTAAACTCCTTTACTGTGTTAACCTCTACCACTTCAGCTGGAAGGCTATTCCATGCATCCACTACCCTCTCAGTAAAGTAATACTTCCTTATATTATTTTTAAACCTTTGTCCCTCTAATTTAAGACTATGTCCTCTTGCTGTGGTAGTTTTTCTTCTTTTAAATATAGTCTCCTCCTTTACTGAGTTGATTCCCTTTATGTATTTAAATGTTTCTATCATATCCCCCCTGTCTCGTCTTTCCTCCAAGCTATACATGTTAAGATCCTTTAAAGGACCACTATAGTGCCAGGAAAACATACTTGTTTTCCTGGCACTATAGTGCCCTGAGAGTGCCCCCAACCTCAGGGTCCCCCTCCCGCCGGGCTCTGGAGAGAGGAAGGGGTTAAACTTACCTTTTTCTCCAGCGCTGGGCGGGGAGCTCTCCGCCTCCTCTTCTCCTGAATGCGCATGCGCGGCAGGAGCTGCGCGCGCATTCAGCCAGTTCCATAGGAAAGCATTCATAATGCTTGCGTTTTTGGATGCTTGCGTTTTTTCACTGTGATTTTCACAGTGAGAAGCACGCAAGCGCCTCTAGCGGCTGTCAATGAGACAGCCACTAGAGGCTTTAGAGGCTGGATTAACCTATTTATAAACATAGCAGTTTCTCTGAAACTGCTATGTTTATTTAAAAAAGGGTTAACCCTACCTGGACCAGGCACCCAGACCACTTCATTAAAGGACCACTCTAGGCAGCCAGACCACTTCAGCTTAATTAAGTGGTCTGGGTGCCAGGTCCAGCTAGGTTTAACCCAGAATGGGTTAAGCCTTCCCCCAAATCCTCTAGTGGCTGTCTCATTGACAGCCGCTAGAGGCGCTTGCGTGATTCTCACTGTGAAAATCACAGTGAGAGCACGCAAGCGTCCATAGGAAAGCATTGATAATGCTTTCCTATGCGACCGGCTGAATGCGCGCGCAGCTTCTTCCGCACCTGCGCATTCAGCTGACTGGGAGGAACGGAGGAGGATCG